TCTCCTTCTTAATTCTTCGTTGTAATTTTGTACTGCTACTCTATGACGTTCCTCTTGTTCGGCCCGACGGGTCTGATCCTCGGATGGGTCCAGTGGTTCTGCCATAGGGTAAATTAGTTCATCTCTTATCGGTGGGTTAATTACATCTTCGATGTCTTTCGCAATAATTGTCAGTTGGAATTTTTCCGCCCACCTTTCCCAGTCATGTTGATTTTCGTTTGATGAGTTGTTCCAAAAAAACTCTAGTCCGCGTAGGTTTGATTCATTAGACTGCGCCATGTCATCTTTCGGCTCACAAATCATTGTCAGTTTTTGAGATGCCATGGTTTAATGTTTGGTTCAGAAATCAGTATTTAGCTCAGAAATCATCATCATTACTTCAGATGAGATGGTCAAGGATTTTTGAGGGAGAAGTCTCGTGATGGCTTATTGAAATAAAGGACGGCTCGATTGTAATTTTGGAAAACTGATCAATTGGATTGAAAAATCCACTTTTCCTTGAAACAGAAAAACAAAACTAAGTTAATCGGAAAATAATACAAAAATAGAGAAGTTTTGTTTTTTAATTTCAAGCAATTTGAACAATTCGATCGAAAGAAAAATTCATTAAGAAAAAATAAATATTTTTTCTAATAATTGTTGAGCAATGTGATCAATTTTTTCGGTTCTTTTCTTTTCTATCTCCTCGGTTGTTCGGTTTTCATTATTTACTGTATCGCCACACTCAAGATATCCACCTTCAGTTATTTTTATTGGCTTTTGCATTATGGTTTGTTTTTTGAATAATTTTTCCGATAAATTTTTCGTTTGCCTATCTTATTGAAGTTAGTTTTCTCGTTCCACAGCTGTTTATCCACCGGTAGAAGAAGAAAAGGGCCGAATGCATCTCTCGGGCACAGCTTTAACCAATTTCTTAGGCATTATCATTTTTTTAGGGAAGAACATTGCGATTGGATTAATTGTCATCCCTTCTGGACTTAAGATGCCCAATGGCTTGCAGGGCAGTTTTAAGTTCGCAGACACAGACGATGATTTGCAGAAATGGATTTTAGTACTTTCAGCATCTAGGATGAGCCTGTTTTGAATTGACGGAACAAGTTATACAGTTGATATTGAGATACTGAAACGCGAACTTTACTGTTGAATCTGAGTGAAAGAACTTTCATCAAAAACTAATAGCTGTAGCGAATTTTATTTCAAAAAAGGACCACGTTATTTTGAATTGAGGAGAGCCATTTCGACTCGACAAGGTATCTAATTGGAACCTAATTTGCGAAACGTTGCAACGATGTTAATATTATAAAAGTACGGAACAGCCGTTTCTTGTAAATTACCATAACTTACTGTAACTTACTCATTGAAATCAACAAGAAAAACTACAAGTTTTTTATGGAAACTATTAAGAATATTTCTGAACCTGAGCAGTGACCTGCAGGAAAACTTTGGATAGTAAGCTTGTTCGTCTCATCAGCTTCAGTTCAAACACGAAGGGTTATCTCATATTTTCATTCGAGTGGTTTTATATATGGAATCAATTGAACATGAGGCGGCAGTGAACTTAAAGAAGCAGCAACAACTTTATAGCAATAAAATTTGAACTTACAGCTGTTCAATCTCGCAAAGAGATCAAGCTCATTAAGGCCCACCATTTGATCTGTATGACAGTACCAAAGAGAAGAAACCGTAGATTTGTGGTTCCCATCCTTGAATTGATCAACTGAAACAGTAGAAAATTCTGATTTCGTGCCGACAAATTTGACAAAATTTCATAACAAAAATCCAAATCAAAGGTAAATTGACAAAAGGTGAAGAAAGAACGATAGTTGCTTCTATATTATTTGAGAGATGATAAGATCAAAACAAGTTAATCATTGCGAGCCCGTTTTGTGATTCTACAATGATCCCAGGTTTAGTTTGAGCCATAAATGACTTTAGGCTCTTGGGCACATGATTATCGACACGCGTGGATCCTATAACAATAGAACTCATGCTTACTAGAGCAATAAAAATTTTCTTACTCAGTTCGAAAACTTGTTTGGAAATTGTTTCCACTTCGGATTTGATCTATTGGGAATGGTACAAAATATCCCGGCTTTGAAGGAATGGTACAGAGACAAAAAAATTCATGAATTTTTGCTTGAGTTGTCAGAAAAAATGAGCTGTCAAAGAAACACAAAACAATTGTTAAAGATTTTAATTAGTTTTGGTGACACTTTTGAGTCCTCAGAGATCGAAATAGATAGATAGATAGATAGATAGAGAGAGAGAGAGAGGGAGAGAGAGATGTCTTGCTTGGATCGATGTCCTGCATGAATCATATACTAGAGGAAGAATGTACTGTCTCCAGTTTTTTCTAATATTGAGGCGGAATTGTGTCTCTGGTGTTATAAAAATGTTTTTAAGTTTTAATTATTTCAATAAAAATGATGTATCAAATTAAATTGAAATTAACCACAAATGCTCCATAATCTCAATCAGAGCCAACAGCGCAATTGCCGATTAGGAGCAGCTGAATGGCTCCTCATCTTTCCGCTCGTGTCGGGAAAACCTGGAGGCCGTCATCTGTTATCCACGATGGATAGAATTGTAACCTAGAGTCAAGTCATGCATGAAAACTGTCAAAAATAAATGAACTGTCAAAAATAAATAAAACAATTGGAAAAGATATTCATAAATTTCCTTGAGAGATTTGAGTCCTGAGAGATGGATAGAGAGACAGAGAGGCATTTGTCTTGTGTGAGTCGATGTCAAGCATGTAACTCAATCTAAATTTCTGCAATTCAGTTGTTCAGTTAGTTTCAGTTGTTCAGTTCAGTTAGGGTTAACCGTTCAGAGTTTTATTAATGAAATTGGCCTCATATATGTGGCTGTCAAACTGAAATCCATCCATCCGCAAGCTCAGTTAGTTCGCTTTTGAAACTTTTTATGGATTTGGCCGATAAAAAATAAGATGAAACAATGAAGTTCTCTGTTTTGGTCAATAAGCCTGTCTAACTGGATCCAAATGACAAGATCAACCACAGTGACGCGGTTTATTATACAGATACGCATGATCGAACACAAAACAAAAAAAGATGGAACTCGAAAATTAAGTAAAAACATCAAAGGTAAAATTATGGTTCAGATGAGTGCTGGTTAGAATCTCTCTCTCAATTCGCCATAGTCGATTTTAGGAAACACTCTAATCTGAATGTCATTCGTGCTACGGGTGCTGCCTGAAACCACGACTAATCTTTGCCGTTGTTTACCGAGAGCTTCTGTTTTGCGGATCCGTACCAGAGGAAGTTGATATCTTCTCAGACCCGCTCATTGGGTACCGGAAGTGGCGAAATTAAATCTGGTACCGGAGGAAGGGGCGAGAAGACTTTTGGTAGTGTTGAAATGAACTGTGGTACCAGATGAATTTGGTACTTCGGGAAGTTGTACCAGCTGGCGCACCGATGGGCATCTGGCATGTGACGTCCGAGTTTTGGTAATTGTCAATGCCTGTCACTTTGTTCTTCAGCGAGTTCTGCTTATTGTCGGAGCTGACTGTCAGTTCGGTCAAAACAGGTGCTTCCTTCGGCTTTCATTCGCACAATATTAGTGTTGCGTGCGAATTCTTCGTAAGATCCTGCTCGTCATCGTTGGATTCCTGGTTGCACCAGGAACCCGCAACCTACTCGTTCCTGCACGGTTCTTGTTTGTCCCATGTCGTCTTGCTGGTCGTCTTTGTGGTCCTGGTCATCTTTCTGGTGGTGGTTTCCCGACGCATTTAGTTTTGTAGTCCATCTCGTTGTCTGCCTCGTCGACGTAATCGTGAATTTGTCTACTTCAATTGATTCGCTTTTTGCTAAAAAAAAATTGAACATGAGTACAAAAAATGAATTTTCGTTCTTGATTTTAAAAAAAATATTGATCGATGGGTTCAAATTTTTTTTTAAAATGAACACATCTCCAGTCACTCTGATCATTGCTAATGTCTTCGGCACAGATCGTATTCGTCCTGTCCCGCTTTTATTGGAATGGTGCTTAACACTCATCACAGGTATCCTGCATAAAAGCATAACTTATCTTAGTAGGAGAAAGCAGCTTTCTTTTTTTTTCGCCCAGATCTTCGACTAGCCTAAACTGTCTCCTAGCATGCGGGCGACATCATATGCTCTGCAGCTCTGCAGCAGTCACTGAGGCCCTTCTTGCCACAGATAACGCAAGTCAGTTTCTTCAGTCATCCCTCTCTCCCCTCGCATGAATTTTTGTCAAAACGGTGGACCATGTTGCTCTGTTGCGAGAAACTTGTTACGAGTCGAAAAGAAAAAAACAACAAATTACCCAAAAAAAAACTAAAATTGAATAAAAATTAGTGGAATCCGCAATACAGTCAATTCAACAGTTGAAAACAAATTGAACTATCTGCCGAAATTGAGAACAATTTCTTAACAACTCTCAGTGGAATCCAGGGTCAAAAGTGGCAGAATAAACTTTTGAGTCTACTCCTTTAGGATGTGAAGCCGGTATCGAATTTTTTAGGGAAAATAAACAAGTTAGTTAAACTTTTTTGAAACCTCCATTTTGTTGGGTTCCACTTACTAATTGCGGATTACTCTTACAGTTGCGGATTCTGCACCAGCTTAAACTCACTATACACATGTTTTATTATTTGTTTGTGGGTTCCACAAACTGTTTGGCAAAACTTAATTCGAATTTTAAAAATTTTGTTGAGGATTCCGCAAAGTTGCCTGTTTTTGGGGCAATTTTCAGCAATATACTGTTTTGGCTATTTGTTCGTGGAATCCAAAACGGCAAAGATGATCAAAGAAAAATAGCGAAAAGCAGATTTTAGCATGTAGCGGAATCCGCTTACAGTTCACAAAATGCACAGTTTCGCCTCGTAAGGGGGGTAAACTTGATCCGGTTTTTTAAATCAGAGTTTGGCCGGAACAAAAAATCAAGAAAAGTAATGGCATTAAATAAAAATCTACGTCAAGACATATATACATAATGCTGCGTCATCCTGTCAGGCTGCCCCTACTATCTACAATATGGAGAAAGGATGCGAGTATAGAGTGTATTACGCAGCCAGATGTAAACTACCAACCGGGGGCATTCTAAACTCACAATTCGTGTCCTACAACGAATCTTTCTGTACAGGTGATTGTTGATTTAAAGCTATTATAGTTTTGCACGCAATATCTCCCTACTTTTGAAGTAGGGATGATGTTAAGCAGATCAATTTCAGTTATAATTTCAAAATCTGTTCATATACATGTTTGTGAATAGGGCTCTTGGAGTTTAAATCTAAGGTGCCCTGATACATTACGCAACTCAATTACTATTATGAGCATAGAAAATTTTATGACATTTAACGAGTAAATATGTAATCTAATTTGAATCGGACTTTTATATAATGTTGATATCTTAGAAAACTTGCGATTCGATAAAAAACACGCACACTATATACATAATTATTCAGCTGTGACTACAATTGAGACTACAGATGTCTTATGGCAAGCTGTTCACAAATCGTGGTCGAGAATTGACCACACAATTTTTTGAAAATTCATATGAAATGCTTTCAAGGAAAATGTCAGACGTAGTCGCAACGAAGAGCTTTTTAACAAAATATTGATTCAAAAACTGTTCAAGTGGCATTTTTACCAACTTTCAATTTTATCTTAATCTATTCAAAGTAGAGTCTGATTTAACCAACCGGGTCGAGGAGCTCGACTCAAGTTCTGACTTGCTCGACCCAAAATTTGTATGTTTCGACCGTCCTGACAAGAACCTAGTTTGTTTCGACTCTCTCGGCCAAGTTTCGACATATTTCGACTTTGTTTGACCTATGTTTCGACAATTTTGGGCCTAAGTCGGTTTGTTTCTACTTAGTCGACTATCGACCAACGTGGCTGAATTCGAACTTAAGCTATATATGCCTTTGGTTAAATTTTGATGGCAATATTTGGCACATGGAACAACCTATAAAAATCACCGTTATGCGAAGTTTTTGCGGTGAAACTTGAATTGAAGTTTGCAATTTGAAGGATGCGAATTGAATCTTCTAACTTTTTGCTAATTTCCGAGGACGGCTTTCATACACGAAAAACAACTATCACACAGAGTCTTCCAAAACAATCCCGGTTTCACCTCCATAGACCAAAAATGCTAATCATACAATTCCATAAATTAAGTCTTTGAAAAAATCCTAGTCATACAAATTTCATACATTTTGCTAAAATGGTGTCGTCGAATTTTCAAAAAAAAACTTTTCTTCTGTTTTGGCATAAGATTCGGTGTATCGTACTACATAACAAAGAAAAACTATTTGTTTGACCTCTGTTTTGACTCTTTTGGGCCTAAGTCGGTTTGTTTCTACTTAGTCGACTATCGACCAACGTGGCTGAATTCGAACTTAAGCTATATATGCCTTTGGTTAAATTTTGATGGCAATATTTGGCACATGGAACAACCTATAAAAATCACCGTTATGCGAAGTTTTTGCGGTGAAACTTGAATTGAAGTTTGCAATTTGAAGGATGCGAATTGAATCTTCCAACATTTTGCTGATTTCCCAGGTCGGCTTTCATACACGATAAACAACTATCACACAGAGTCTTCCAAAACAATCCCGGGTTGATCTCCATAGACCAAAAATGCTAATCATACAATTCCATAAACTAAATCTATGAAAAAATCCTAGTCATACAAATTTCATACATTTTGCTATAATGGTGTCGTCGAATTTTCAAAAAAACTTTTCTCTTGTTTTGGCATAAAACTCGGTGTATCGTACTACTTAAAAAAGAAAAACTTTTTGTTTCACCTATGTTTCGACTCTTTTGGGCCTAAGTCGGTTTGTTTCTACTTAGTCGACTATCAATCAACGTGGCTGAATTCGGACTTGAGCTATATGCCTTTGGTTGAATTTTGGTGGTGATATTTGACACATAGAACAACTTATAAAAATCACCGCTATGCGAAGTTTTTGCGGTGAAACTTGAATTGAAATTTGCAACTTGAAGGATGCAAATTGAATCTTCTAACTTTTTGCAAATTTCCCAGGACGGCTTTCATACACGAAAAACAACTATCACGCAAATTCTTCCAAAACAGTCCCGGGTTGACTTCCATAGACCAAAAATGCTAATCATACATTTCAATAAACTAAATCTTTGAAAAATCAGTAATCATACAAACTTCTTACATTTTGCTAAAATGTTGTCGTTGAATTTTTAAAAAACTTTTCTCTTGTTTTGGCATGAATTTCGGTGTATCGTACTAAATAAAAAGAAAAACTTTTTGTTTGACCTAAGTTTAAATTGGTTTGTTTCTCTTTAGCTGACTATCAATCAACGTGGCTGAATTCGGACTTAAGCTATAAGCCTTTGGTTGCATTTTGGTGGTGATAATTGACACATTTGGCGAATTTTTTGCGGTGAAACTTGAATTGAAGTTTGCAATTTGAAGGATGCGAATTGAATCTTCTAACTTTTTGCTAATTTCCCAGGACGGCTTACTTACACAAAAAACACATATCACGAAGATACTTCCAAAACAGTCCTCGTTTAACCTCCAGAGACCAAAAATGCTAATCATACAATTCCATAAACTAAGTCTTTGAAAAAAAACTGATCACACAAACTTCTTACATTTTGCTAAAATCTTGTCGTTGAATTTTCGAAAAACTTTTCTCTTACTTTGGCATACAGTTCGGTGTATCGTACTACATAAAAAAGAAAACATTTTTGTCAAAAAAACGCTTATCAAACAATTTTCATGTATGGAAAATGTATAATAAGAGCATTTTTTTGATGGCGACGACAAGTATTTTTGAAATTGCCCCGAGTTTATTTTGTAATTTTTCAACCGCAAATTGATTTTTGTACTGACACAAACACTTTTTTCAAAATTTTTTTTCAAATATTAGTTTTTTGTATGTATAACGTTTCTCTTGTTTTGGCATAAAATTTTTCTGTTGTTTTGGCATAAAATTCGGTGCAATCCATTCTAGATAAAAAAGAAAAACTTTTTGTTTGACATATATTTCGACTCTTTTGAGCCTAAGTCGGTTTGTTTCTACTTAGTCCACTATCAATCAACATGGCCGAATTCGGGCTTAAGCTATATGCCTTTAGTTGCATTTTGGTGGGGATATTTGACACATAGAACAACCTATAACAATCACCGTTATGCGAAGTTTTTTGCGGTTAAACTTGAATTGAAGTTTGCAATTTCAAGGATGCGAATTGAATCTTCTAACTTTTTGCTAATTTCTCAGGACAGCTTTCATACACGAAAAACAACTATCATGCAGATTCTTCAAAACAATCCCGGGTTGACCTCCATAGACCAAAAATGCGAATCATACAATTCCATAAACTAAGTCTATGAAACAAACTAATCATACGAATTTCTTACATTTTGCTAAAATGTTGTCGTCGAATTTTCCAAAAACTTTTCCCTTAATTTGGCATAAAATTCGGTGTATCGTACTACATAAAAAGAAAAAAATTTGTCAAAAAAAGGCTAATCATACAATTTCCATGTATTGAAAATGTATGACAAGCATTCTTTTGATGGCAACAAGTATTTTTGAAATTGCCCCAAAATTTTTTTGTGTTTTTTTTTTCAACCGCAAAATTGATTTTTGTACTCACACAAACATTTAAAAAAAAAAAATTTCATGCAAATTTTATTTTTTGTATGTATAACGTAGTCCTGGATATACTAATTTTGGATTTTTTTCCTTTTTCTTTATAATTTGTGCCAATAATTTGCCAAAATTTAAAAGTTCGTTACTTTCGTTATATTAGAACATTTACAGATTTAATTCGTTACAGAATTAAAACATTTCAGGCTGTTTCCAATACATTTTAATGCGAGGCGGCCAAACTTTTGTATACTACGTTTGAGTAACCAAGGCTTATGTCATTTGTGTTCGGTTACGAACACAACCAAAAAATTGTGAGAAAAAAAATGTTAAAAATCAATTTTTTTGGTTTATGGAAAAATGCTAGTCATACAATTTCCATATGTGAAAAAATACTAATCATAGACCTTTGTTGCAATTTTCGGTACTTTTGGAATTGCTTGGAATGTGTATGATTAGCATTTTTCCATATATGAAAACTGTATGACTAGCATTTTTGGTCAACCCGGGATGCTTGTCAAACAACTCCAAAAACGACAAGACTGCTCGCATCAGGGCGAAGCGCTGAATGTTCCGACTGCCTTTTAAGGTCTATGGAGTAGTAATAACATGAAAAAAATAAATCTCATAAAACAAAATAAATTGAATAAAAAGTTACAATGGTGTTTTCAAGTTACAAGCACAAAGTAAAAATTTCGGTCGAAAAAGTCGATCATATTCGTAATATAGGTCTAGCACTGCATGTATTTTTTATCGTACTGTTTTTTTCGGATATTTTAAATAGGATATTTACATAACGCATAAACATCTGCTCAAAATTGAAAAAAAAATTGTTCAGATTGTGTACAAAAAAACGTTGTTTTGTTTAGAGCCTGAACTACCAACCGTCTTCAGCTCACTGGCAGATTTTAAAATAACCGAGACCACACTAGAGATAAATGGATTCGGAGTGCCCTCAGGGCAATACAGTTACATTGCGTTCAAGCCTCTTAATCAAGCGAACTGTGGAAAACCAATCATCGGGAACTTGACCAGAGGAGAGACTGATCTTAAGAGGAAAGACTTGGTGCCCGGCTGTGACTACCATCTGAGATATTCTGCCGTCTGTCGTGCTGATACAGGCTCAGTTGAGTCGGCTATAAACTATTTGGACATTTGCACAAGTAAGCGTAAAATACAAATATCATTGCGTTTCAACATCTACTATAAAGTTTCAAACAGTTACAAATTCAAGTGATTGGTGAAAGAAATTGCGCTTTCTTTAAAAAAACACGAAACTTTTTTATAATTGCATTTTTGCCGCGTAACAACGGCGCCGAATTTTTTTGCAAAGCTATTTATTTATTGGGTTTTGGGCATCTAAGGTTGTCCGGGTTGAAATTGGTCCATTTTTAGGTGTCCTTGTTTTCCTCAGAGAGTGCTGAATCAGCCTAAATTTTAGCCAAAACCGGAATTCGCACCATTGAAAGTACAGAGGCGACTAACTTTTCGAACGTGTCGCGACTTTTTTTTCGAACCGCCGCGACTAATTTTTTGACCGTCGCGACTAATTTTGCGACCATCGCGACTAATTTTGCTACCATCGCGACCGAGATAAGATACTTCCAGAGATTTGTCCGCGACTTATAACTGTGTCCCGACTACGGATTTTCGGTCGGGGAATCAACATTTCCGCGATCGATAAAGTCAAAAAAAATAGTCGCGGACCTTGACCCGGGCTGTGGAAATCAAAATTTTGGAAAAGCGAAGTCTTTAACTTAATTCTAGAACCTAATCACCCCTTTTACCCAAGAACCACAAAATTACCTTCTATTGGAAAAAAATGCAGAAAAAACGTTATGAGTGAATTTGAACGGCTTAACTTTGGCCCTAATAAAATTTTCCCGAAGAGTTCAATTTTGTTTTTTAAATAGGTAGCAGCTGTATGAGAAGCAGCGGGGACACTTTTTTGATGGCTATTGTACGATATAGTTCCTCACATGCGACATATCGTTCGGTGTTTCCTCGCAACACAAACTCCTACACTGTAATTTTGCGGGTCTTGGGTGAAAGGGTGATTAGGTTCTAGAATTAAATTATACACTTCGCTGTTCCAATAATTTGATTTCCACAGCCCGGGTAATTTTTTTACTTTATCGGTCGCAGAAATGATAATTCCGCGACCGAAAATCCGTAGTCGGCACACAGTTAAAAGTCGAGGACAAACTCTGGAAATATCGTATCTCGGTCGCGAGGGTCGCAAAAATAGTCGCGATGGTCGCAAAATTAGTCGCGGCGGTCAAAAAATTAGTTGCGGCGGTCGCAAAATTAGTCGCGGTGGTCAAAATTAGTCGCGGCGTTCGAAAAAAAAAATCGCGGCGTGGTCGAAAAATTAGTCGCGGCGGTAGAAAAGATTGTCGCCTCTGTACTCTCATGGAGTCCATTTCCTGTCTAGGGCTTCCAAACCTACCATGCTAACCATCATACTTTTTTGCGCTGATTTATTGTAACTTGTACATTTTTTAGATCAAGCTGTTTCTTTCGCACAGTCATAGTAGGTTAACATAAGTAGCCACATAATCGAAGAATAACTCGCGGCTCGGTCGAACAATTAGTCCGGTATGTTCGAAAAAATTGGTCACGGCGGTCAAAAAATTAGTGCGGCATTAGTAAAAATTTGTAAAAAAAATAGTCGCGGCATGGTCGAAGGCAATGTTTCTATCAGTATAAAATGGGTTTTTATTATTCTCACAGAAAGTTGGCCGACTCTGACTTTCTCGTTACTTTTGTCATGAGGCAACCTTCGGTACCTCATTCTATTCTATTTACTTATGTGTATCTTATTTAACTATGTCTTAATTATCTACTTATTGTGCAGTAAATTGATTCACGAGAAAGGACAAATCTCACCAGATAAATCGTTTGTCACTTGAGAATCTGAAGCGGTCACTTGCGAAAGCCTTAAGTATGAATTCAATTAGCTGTGAGTCTCAAAGACAATATTTCACCGGGAGAGCTACTAGTTGCCCCAGCAGAAAAAGTGGATGAACCTTACCCGAAGCCTGAAGCACCGGGGCCGGATGAAAATGCAGCAGATGTAACCAATAGGAATCACAGAGTTGCAGCAGCTAATAGAAGAATCGATGAGTACAATCTAGAGAGGAGAAGGAAAGGACCTCGCATGGTGTTACCATGAGGCAGAGGCGCGTCTGAAATCGCGACTTTTCCTCGCTCTGGGAAATGATGGGAAAAAAACAATTTTTGGATTCTTACCCTCATCTGGACCTCAATACTAGCTCTTTATTGATTTTCACAAGTGCTGCGAAGATCTTTTCAAGGCAGAGCGGGACTACACAGTCGAAAAGATTAGGTTGTATAATACAATTTTCATGCTGGATAATGACTCATTCTCATCATTTTACGCCCGACTTAGCGCTCAAACTGCGCTGTGTAATTGGCCGATCAATCAGGAAAGAGCGACGTTGAAAGATTTGTTTATTGGCCGTATTCGCGACGTTGAGGTTCAGAGGCAATTAATCAGAGCAAAAGCTAATCTTGACGAAACTCTACAACTGACCTTGGAGAATGGGGCTAAATTGTCAGAACAATTTCAGAAATTGCTCCCGCATAACAACGCCACTTCTAGTACTACAAACTCTATTCTAATCAAGCAGGAACCAACCGGGGAGGAGGTGTAAGTCGTCCTCAACAAGGTCAACATCAAATTAAACCATGTTTTTTTTGTGGTAACCCGTTTTCCCTGGAACATCGCCGGTCGTGCCCTGCTAGAGAAGCTACATGCAATGCTTGCAAAAAGAAGGGTCATTTTGCTAAGGTGTGTAACACTACAAAACGACGTGTTAACATGATACAAAATGAAGAGATGACTACAGATCAAGAATGTAATTTAATTGACGTAAATGGTGACAGCGAGCCGGAATATGGGGTCATGGCGATAGACGTGGTGCAAATTAAAAATGTAGAACTTCTAAAGTCAGCGGGAGGACAACCCAGGAGCCTCAGCATTCAGTTATGTTCTGGTAACTCCTTCTTCTACGCTACGGTGGACACTGGCAGTCCCGTGTCTTTCTTAAATAAGAAAACGGCGGATATACTCATGAAACTAATTCCCAACGTTAAATTTAAGGACATCGCGAGACATCCATTAGATGTCACTTATGTCGACTATAACAAGAGACCAATTAAGCTGTTCGGTTCTCTAGAAATCCCCATCACGTGGAAGGGACGGAAAATCGAGAATGCGTGTTTCTTGGTCTCTGAAAATCGTACTCGGAATCTACTCGGGATGAACCTTCAAGAGAAATTAGGAATCGAAACGGTGCAACGCAGACCGGCGGAAGTTAGTTTGGGGGAAGACGAGCAGGAGTTGGATCCGACCTCACAATTTTGGAGAGATCATTTTGTCAAAAGGTACCCTAAAGTGTTCAGCAGGCTGGGGAGGTCCAAAAAAGACCCTTTGGTACCTAGACAAGTTAAAGGCCGAAAATTCCCTATACATTTGCAAGATCGCGCCATGAATGCCCAAATCTGGCAAAATAAATATCAAATGCCTAATGTGCATAAATTGATTGACTTGGCGGCTTAAATCATAACTAGAGACACACCTGGGGAAGTGTGGTTTACTTCTCTTGACCTTAAATACGCTTTCAGTCAATTATTTTAATCGGAGCTAACCAGTAGTCATTGTAACTTTAGTATTTTGTGTGGAGAGGCGACGGGCACCTATCGGTTCAAGACTGGTTTCTACGGACTAACTTATATGCCTACAAAATTCCAGAAAGCGATTGACTTTACGTTACAAGGATTGAAAGGCGTTATATGTTACCTTGATGATATACTGGTTGTCACTAAAGGAAGAGTTGAGGACCATAATATCTTGGTCGAAAGAGTCATTAATCGATTGAATGAAGAAGGATGGGCGTTGAAACTTAGCAAATTTGAGTTCTCAGTTAACAAGTTAGTGTGGTTAGGGTATGAAATCGATGAAAACGGCTACGCTCCGAAATTCTCAAAAATAGAGGCCATCAAATACCTTTTGCCACCAAAAACCCTTAAGCAGTTAAGATCGTTTATGGGGACCCTCAAACATCTTCAACGTTTCATCCCGGACTTGCACAATTATACAGTCGCCTTCAGAGTTTCGTTAAAGGCGGAAAATAAAAAATCCTTTTTGTGGGGGGAAGAGCAAAATATTGCGTTTCAGAAAATTTTAAACCTCATCGTAAACATCCCTAATTTGTTTCACTATGATGCTTCGAAAGCTTCGCGAGTTAAATGTGACGCAAGTCACAGCGGTCTGGGGTCCTGCTTGGAACAAGAAGTGGAACCAAATGTTTGGGCCCCGATTGCGTTTGCCTCTAGATTTCTAAACTTCGCGGAAATCAAGTCTAGTACCAATGAGTTAGAGCTTCTGGCCATTGTATGGGCGTGCGAACATTTCCGTACTTACTTTGTAAATGTTTTGTCATTCTAACCGATCATAAGGTCATTGTTTCTGCCCTCAACGAAACGTATGGCAAGAAGTCTTACCAGTCACGACTCTCTCGCTGGGAGGACCGCCTTATTCCGTTCGATTATCAAATCGAACATATACCCGGTTCCTCTCTAGGTATTGTAGCTCTAGGTATTGTAGACTATATGTCTAGACATCCGACTTTTGAAGCTCCGTTACCACCTTCGCATGATGAGTTATTTGTCATTAAATCTATTCAAGCTTTTCACAATGCTTTAAATTCTATTAGTACTCAATCCAAACCTCAAATAATGCCGGTGGGGCAAGTTTCATTTGTAACTCATTACAACCAATCAAATCGTTGCGTAAAACTGGAAGTAACATTAGCTACCTTTTAAATAAATCAACGGACCAATCAACAGCTGATTCATCTAGCCAATCAAGTTTTGGCAAACAGTTTAGTTCATCGTCTCTAGAGGGCGTCGCAAATATTACTCAATCTGTTAACCAATCTCAAAAGGATATGCTAATTTATCGTCATAATCACTCGCCGATAGAGGGCGTGAATTCAAGCTGTCAGTCAACCAGCAATTCATATGCAAGTATGCAAAATCGGGAGTATTTATCATCGTCGCGAGAGGTCGACTTAGCATGCTCTGATAGTCCCTACCAATCACAGCGCAGTATGCAAATGAGATACGCTAAACCGGA